AATGATACATTGTTATTCTATGGGGCAGATATTGACCAAGTTTTGAATATTAGAAGATTTCTTAGATGTTGTGAGCTTGCTTTGGGGATAAAGGTTAATTTCACCAAAACTTTAGTTATTGCGGTTCGCTGCCATGAGGTTTTGGTTAAAAAATTGGCTGAGATAATGAATTGTATAGTGGAATCCTTTCCAATCAAGTATTTGGGGATTCCTTTATTATATTCAAGATTACCTAAGGAGGTAGGGGATCTTGTGGTGAAGCGTGCTAATTCGAAGCTAGATGTATGGAAAGCCAAACATTTGTCTTTAGGGGGGAGAATTACCTTAATAAAATTTTCTTTATCTAACATTCGTATTTACCAAATTTCCCTACTCCTTATGTTTTCTGATGTCATTAAAAAGCTGGAGAAGCCTATGAGGAATTTTTTATGAATTTTTTATGGGATCTGATAATGAGGTCAAAAAGTATCATTTAGTAAGTTGGGACGGAATTTGTACCCCAAAATGCAATAGTGATCTAGGTATTCGCAAGTTGAAAGTTGTGAACCATTCCTCCATGGAAAAATGTTGGTGACGTTCAATACAAAATGACAGTCAGCTTTGGATAAGAGTTCTGAAATTTAAATATGGTGTTGATCCTTTATACATTACCATAGTTTGAGGGAGAGGTGGTGGTCAATCCTATGTTTGGAAAGCAATTGCCTCTTTGAGATTTTTTGTAATTAGAAATTCGAGGTGGTCAGTAGGCGAAGGGGATGTAGCCCTTTTTTGGCATTCTAAATGGGCGTTTGAGATTCCATTTAAGTTGCTCTATCTTGATCTCTTTCTAAGAAGTGCTCAACCTAGGGTGAAGGTTAATGAAATTGGATATCTAAATGGACAGTAAGTAGTGTAGAATATTAGTTGTATTTACAATAGATTACCTCAAATTGCAGTTGAGCAATATTTGGAAGTGCTAAAATCTTTGGGGGAGATCCATATTTAAAATCAAGCAAATGATGTGGCTATTTGGGAGTTGGAGATTGATGGTATTTTTTTGGTCAAGCTCGCTTATCATATCTTATTTCATGATTGTATCCATTGGAATCAGCCTATTCTTGAAGAAATATGGAAGTGGAAAATTCTTCATAAGGTGCAAGCCTTTATATGGGTTATGGCTCAAAGAAAAATTTTAACAATTGATAACCCTCAAAAGAGAGGTAAAATCATTGTGAATCTTTGTCTCTTTTGTAAAATTGATGAGGAAACTGGCGGCCATTTTTTCTTACATGGCTCTTATGCTTATAGTTTATGGTGTTGGGCAATGCAGAAAGTAGGGGTCTCTATGGTCCTTCCTTTCTTGGTATTCAACATTGTATACCAGATGAAGATTTATGAAATTCTTAAGATTGGTGAAATCTTATGGGATATCTCATGAGGATCAATTACATGGGAGCTTTGATTAGAAAGGAATAGAAAGGCTTTTAATTGAGTGGCAGTGGACGTGTTAGTATTGAAGAATAATATTTTGTTCCCTATTTAGAGTTGGTTCATAGTGACCAAGGAATGGTGGGGTGTTTCCCGAGTTGATGTGGAAAATAATATTGCCCATATGATATCTTTAAGGTTCATCAAGGTAAGACCCAGATGTATTTGTGTTCCATCACCGAGTGGATGTCTAAAACTTAATTTTGACATATCCCCTTTTGGGGATCCAGGGAGGGTAGGGGTGGGTGGTGTATGTAGGGACAATGGCCGTAATGTGATTTTCTACTATGCTGCCCCTAGTGGAGTGGCAACCACCAATTATGCAGAAATAGCTGCGATGTTACAAGGTGTGCTTATTGGGAAGGAGAAAGGTTTGGAAGATTCTTTTCTTATAGAAGGAGATTCTATCCATGTTATTAATTGGTGTTATAGTTTAGCTAGACATCCGTGGCAGTGTAGATTGTTATTGTTGCAAATTATGGAGTTAGCAGTTGGAAACATTTTAAGTTTCAACCATATCTATAGAGAGGCAAACCCCATTGCGGATGATTTAGCAGAGAAATGGGCCTTTTTAGATTCTTAGTTGTTTCTGTTGGGTTTGTGTGACCATTAAAAGTCTTATGAGTGCTTGTAAAATGAAAATATATAGTAGAACAAGAACTCAGTGGAAGTGTGATCCCCTGTAGACCATATTACGCAAACGTTATTGGTTGATACTAGATTATGCTTAACGTGCTAGGTTGGTCGAGGAAAACCCATATTACCTGGGTATAAAGAATCAAACTGATGAGGGTTATATGGGGTTATCCCTTGATGAGGTTAGAGTATGCCCGGAAGAGTGAGTCGAAGGACTGTGTGACCCTTTTGTGTGATGGAAGCCTTGAGAGACAGAGCTAAAGCCTCATCATTTTTACCATCACACGCCATGTACATCAATAGCCATTTTCGAGAAAGCATACCACATTTCATGGTGAAGCATGTGTATATGCGAGAGATACTCTCTATGCACCTTCGAGCTATGGATTGTATCAAGTCAGAATGACCTTCGTTTCGTCTCCAGGGGGGACCTAAAACCCATATATTGGAAATGTGATCATTTTTCCATTGGCTAGACTTTAATGACCCACTAATCATCTCCTGCAAGGACTATAGGTCATGGGCAACGCAAGGTCGGTATGAGAAAGCATGTGTAGTTCATAGTTTGCTGTTGGACATGGAGTGCCCCAATGGATATTTATTACTAGACCATATGGATCTTTTTTACATCAAAGTATTTAATTTTGTTTATTTTAATAATATATAATATTAGAATTGTTATTTGAATATTTTTAAAATCTCTGGATATTTTATTTATCAAATTTAGATTTATAAAAATAGAGATATTGATTTTATAATGATTTAAATATTCAAATAATAATTTTATGTATTTTTAAAAATATAAAAAAATAATATAATTGTATAGGAGACCCAATAGGTCTTTTGGGCCCACTATAGCAAATTGGGTGGTGCCCATTATGTACCCCAATGGGTGGCACGTCCCCCACCTATGAAGACTTTCTATTTTGTAAAGATCAAGCTCTAAAAGCTTGAGAGATAAGTTTGTGTTGTTTTAGAAAGTTTAAGCCTTGAAAAAAATCTGAATGATATAGTGGAATGTATGAGAAAATTTTGAATGATATTTTTTTAGGGTTTAGGGGTTTATGCAAGTAAAAAGATGAGGGGATTATACATCTTTCTTCTACAGCATGGAGGGATCCACGGACTTTCTGTGAACCCAAGGGGTTATTTGAGAACAATTTCTGTTTTTTGGGTTGATGGTGCAAGTATGTGCTGTTTTCCCTAAGTACATTTGCTTCCATTAAATTACGTGGATCTTACTTTACGAGAATAGATGGACTTGTGTCCCATGAATTCCATCTATATTTATTTGCTGATTTTGTAATATGTGAAACTTTTTGCAAAATTTAACTTCTTCTAATTTAAGTATGATCTGGAGAATGAGGTCCAAATTGCCTTAAGTTTCGTTATATGAAAAAAACTGTTTTTTTATGCATTGAATTGTTATATTATATTGAGATGATCCGTACTCCTTATTTATTAAGGTAAGTGATTATTTTCTTTGCACATCAGCAGTAAGTTAATTTGCATATTTGGCAGTTAGATTGATATTCCTTTTGCCTTTCTTAAAATTTTCTATTAACATCAAAAATATATGTTGTCCATTAGTTTTATTTCCATTCCATAATCTTTTTTTAGAAAACTATTTTTCAGATTTTATAAACTTAAATGGGCATTGTGTTGCCAACAAAAGTTCTTCAAAATATTTCGTACAAAATTTTCGAATGTCTCGAATACCCATTGTTGCCTTTACTACAAAGTCAGAAGATATTACAAAATTATAATACTATTATAGTTAATTTTATATTTTTAAATTATGATATTTATCGATCAGCCTCTATCTCCTTGACCCAAGCACGTTTCCCAATATTTATCAATTTAAAGTTTATCAAAAAGATTACAATGTCTTTTACCAAAAAATTTCCCTTTCGGATATTTAAATAATTTCTTTTCCTTTTTAAGAAGTTAAAATTTTATAATTTTGGTAATGAGCTTTCGTGCTTCAGAAAATTTATTTATTAAATTTTTTATTTTTTTTATTTAATTGAATTCAATTTTTTTAAAAAAATATATATGTAGCTTTTTCACCTACCAATATTTTAACCAAGCTTTTCATTTTAGGATATGATTTTTACGATTTTCCTATACTAGATTATTTTTATTCGATTTGCTATTCACATGTAAGAACCAGATTTTTTTTCTTTTGGTCTTTACTTTTGATATCTTCATAATGTATTAATGTTTTTTACGTTTTTGACAAATTGTGATATCTTCATAATGTTTTTTACTTTTTTGACAAATTGCCAATTTTCAAACTGTGGATCACAAATTTCTTTCAAATATAGACTAATTTGTGTATTTTCATCCAAGCACATATTTGATTTTTTTACTGTTCATTATATATAACCAGTTTTTATTGTTTCATGAGTTCTTCAAGTGAATATTTACCAGAATAAAAAACTAGTGATAAATATTTAAAAAGTTATAAACATCCTACGAGCAGGACAGGGGACATATTGTCCACCATTGTGTCTCATGTGCATCATCCCCCCCGCGTCGACCATAATGGTGGTTGATACAAGGAATATGGAGATCACTCGGCACGTTCTCCATCTACAAGAAATAAAATTTCAGTTATAGGAGGAAGAAATAAAATTTCAGTTATAGGAGGATCAGGCCATTGTCAGAACCTCAAGCTGATCTTACCCACTTCAACACCCCCAAAAGAAAACCTATATTGATAATAAAAAATAATAATAGTCTTACAAATTGTTCAATTGTTGTACTGCAGAATTTAGCAAACTGTCTCTCTAACAACTCGAATATAAGCAAATAATATTACCTCGCTCATAATTACCTGATATTTACACATTCTCGAAAGAATTTGGAATGTCGTGGCAAAATTAGAGTCGTTAAACTAGGAAATACTCTAATAAATTCTGGTCCATTGAATATTAAAAAATCTGGCGTATTGCTCAGTGTGTTCGTGTTTTTTCTATATTACATTCAAATTTGCTGCAAATTATAGTGCAGATCAGATCACTGATACATGTTTACCAAACCTATTCCACAAAAACCAATGAACAAACCCAAAATCGATGTGCATCAGAGGCAAACAAGATCCATATTTACACACCACAATCTAAGATATGTATTTGAGTCTTTGCAGATAAGATGTCTAAACGTTGAGGATTGAGGAAAACGAAGGGCAAGGAGTCATAATCATACTTATACAACTAATGTCTTTGGATCTGTTGCTCCAGATGTGTTACCTTCACCAGTTAAAGTTTGGTCAGGGTCCTGCATATTGCGCAGCACAGAGAGGATGTTATTTTGTTAGTAGGCATCCAGAAGAACACATGTACATGCAGAACACATGCACATGCAGACACTACGACTAACCAGGTAGGCCTACAGAAACATTTATACATAGATTTGTATGGGCGCAAGTATATGTATATGCAAGGGCATGCATGACTATCAACATACATGTAAATGTATGTATGTATGTAATATATTATATATTCCATGCAGTATATTCATAAATATGAGTGAATGAATTGAGTATGCATGGCATGATCACTACAATATAGATGCGAAGAACCTACCAAAAGAAATACCAATTGTTATTCAAATATCACAATTGTTTAATAAATAAAAGCCAAAACGTTCTCTTCCTTCACTCTCCTCCTAGCATTGCCACAAACGCCTCACAATTGATGCCCTTAACACTAACTTGCATTTGATTTTTCAGTGTGCAAAAATGTGCATCCACGACAAGAGGTTTTGCAGGATCTAGATATGTATTTACAAATAGAAATTTTAAGGCAGTCAGTGCCTACTGTGAGGATAAATACACACTGGAGAACAAGAATGACTTTGGATTAAGTAGATAAAAGGCAGATCAGGACTCACTAGGCAATAGCACATGGCATTTTTAATAAAAATGTCTCAAGCACACCGAAATAATTTTTTTGCAAAAGCTTTTTTTTTTTTAGCTGCTCTTTATTATCAGTTGTGGTACTTACCTCACACTATATCTACATATCAGCGGTTTATAACATCTCACCATTAATTCATCGTCCAAAATTCTCCATCTTTTTATTGGCGTCTCCTTGAATATCTAGTGTTTCTCTTATTGGTTCTCTCAGTCCTCGCATCGAATACTATTTTAAAAACCAGTGGTTCACCAGAGTCACCTGAGCCGAAGGGTATTGGCCTGATTCCCGCCTGGAATTGGGCAAGCCGGCCTGCACCCCCATTTGAAGTAAAAAAGCAGAAAAAATAGATTGAAAAAAAAGGTTCTACAGACATGTTTTTGTCTTGTTATCTATGAAACATTTGATCCAAATCTATTTGAACCTCCCAAATTAATCGCCTCAAACACAAATTGATCGATTTTTTTTCAAAAATAAATTTAGGCTCATCAAATTTTGATTCTTACGAGGTTATTTCATGTAAATCTCGTGAATTCTCAGCCATAAAAACTTGATCCGCCCTTCTTAGAATTTCAATACCAAATCATCACAAAACAACTCGAATTCTAATTGGTTTCAAATACTCATTCCGTGATTTATTGGATCAAAGCCCTCGTTGGAAGGGATCTAGAGTCGAAATTTCAGGATTGTCTTAACCCGAAATCGGAAAACTTCGATTTCTTACTCAACTTTACCCCCAATTCATTAAAATTTGTCCCAACATGTTTCTAGCATGTCGATATGCAAAGCCCTAACAACATTTTCGAATCAAACCCAAAAATATTTGAGATCGATCTTTCTTTCATTATTTGGTTTCATTTCATTTACAGCTCCTTTTAGATGTGATCAAATATTAGACTATTTTATTATTATTATCATCATCATCAAAGCTTTTTCCCAACTATTTGGGGTTGGCTGCACGGATCTTGATCTGCTATTGTCCTCTAACAAGGGCATATTAGGCTATTTTATCATTTATGATATTTTTTCTATATTTTTGGTTATTTTTTCTCTCTATTTATTTTATTTTTTTAAGTTGTCCTTGTTCTATAATCTGACTCAGCGAGTCCGCTCATCCAACTCCAACCCGGCAGGTGCCCAATACGACTAACTGAGCCAGGTTTTTAAGCACTGCATGGCATCAAAGGTACAAGCCTCTTAGGCACTTTTCTTATAGTTTTGGAACCTCTCTTGTGAAGAGCAGATCATGTTAACTTGCTCTCGATGTTTCCAACTAGATCTCTCCTATAAAAAGAGATACAATTTTACCCTAAACAAGAGCATCACAAATTCTGCCACAAATTCCAGGTGTGTTCAGTGTTGAGTGGGTATATGTCATACTTAACATAGCATCATTTAAGGTTTTGGGTGCTAAGTTGTGACATTATCTTGCTTCCAAAAGCAGATCCCATTTGACTAAAATGTCAAAATATTAGGTGGCAACTACTTGTTGGAAGCGTTATTTCTAAGAGGAAATGAGTGTTAGAGTGGCAAATTCACACCGATAAGCATTTAAAAAAAGCTGGGACCACTCAACCTCCAGTCCAGGTTACCCTGAATCCACTTCTTAATTTAAATAAAAAAATTAAAAAAAAATAAAAAGGACCCCTTTTACCAATTTTTGAAAAAGCGAAAATGATCGTATAGAATCAGGTTCTAGCTCAACTATGCACATCACAGCCTAATACTGTCAAACAAACAAATAAATGGTGCTGAAAAGAGTGTGGGTGTGGGTCCCACTCTTCCTTCAACTCCATCATCCATGGAATGGATGGTGTTAGTCGGAAGCTATAGCAGATCAAGTGGTTACTAGATCAAAATAATCATCCATCTTCTCGAAAGAGTCAGGTAAGTCCACTACGTAACCCACTCGACTTCCCAAGTTCTTAAGGAAGTCACCCAATTAATTCCTAGTCAAGCAACCTTTCAATTGTTTAACACACTCTCTATTTGGTATGGGAACATCTGGGACTTAATAAAATGAGCTATTGACCTTATATAAATGCCCAATGGCCTATGTCGAGTATATTATTGTTCGTTCAAACCTTACTTCACCTCCTGCTTTCTACAACAATCACCTAAAATGAACCTTTTCTTAATCTTTAATCTCATCTTCACTTAACTGACAAAGAAGAATGCTTCTCTATCCTTTCATTTTTCTTTCACAGCCTCTCTGTGTATGGGGAAGATCTGGTCACCATATTTTGCATTCTGACTACCAAAGCCTCTTGATATTCAACGAAACCATCAATCGATGCTTCAATATTTGAAGTTTCTCCAACTGAACTTCAAAAGCTCAAGTCGAATAAATTAAATAACTATAACCCATGTCTCAGCAAATATCTTAATCAAACTTTGGTCCAAAGACTCTGCTCAAAATCTCCTAGATCAAAATCCAATTTAGCCGACTCACCAATTCCTTAGTTTCAAAAGAAGAAACCATCAAGATACAGGCAACATAAGACATTCAAGAAAAAACCAAGTTTTCCTATAGAGAACCTGTGTAGAGTTGTAGATTATATCTGGAATACCATTTTCCCAGAGTCTTCAACCTCTCTACGTGGGGATGAACTGATATCCTAAATGAGACTAACAATGCAATGCTTTTATCAAACATAGACCATGTAAACTTGGAGCTCTCACAAAAGAGAGAATACTTGTCTAATCCAATCTAACCCAAGAAAGTTTGATAACATCAAGATTCTTCCCAATCAGGATTATCTGCTATAAGTGACCCAGATATGATTTGGTTGAATCCAAGAAGATTCCTCATCTCTGTATTCATTTTCTATAGTTCGGGTAGACGAGTTTTGGAATGGATCTTTTTCCTAGGTAGGTCCATAGTGGGATTCCAACCTCGAAATAGTGCTTTGGTCCCTTAAACACCCTAAACATTGAGCCAAGTGCTGGAATAATCCCCGTTTTGGGTTTAGTCATGTGGGTGACATGTGACATTCGGCATGATGCTCAACTCTCCAGAATATGTTAATTACAAATAATAAATCTACTTCGAGACACGAACTACTGCTCCCAATACCATCACCTAATATCATCACCTACTTGAGGTTTTGGTGGAACACGAACTACTGCTCCCAATATCATCACCTAAACTATCCGTGAAAATATGAAATGATTATAGTCTTGTAAAGACTTTAATAACCAAAGAGAGCTATATAAAAAGGTTTCAATCACAACTCTTCAGTGCTCACTATATGTCTTCCCCAAAATAGGGAGCTTTTACTGGTTCCCCAAAATACGGAATTTTCTCACATCCATTTTGAACTAAACAAATGGTCTGGTGTCCATCAATCATCAAGCAAAATATGTTGAAAGTTGCAGTGAAAAACTGGTGTAAGAATGATGCCATTAAACTTTATAACCAAAGAAACACATGCGCATGTGCACATGCACACGCTCGCACGCAGACATAGATAGATAGATAGATAGATAGATAAATAGGTAGATAGAGAGAGAGAGAGAGGCAGTACCTCTATTCCCCATTTGATATAATCCGGTGATTCACAAGCCTTGTATTCGTCTACCAAGCTTTCAATGATCTCTCGGGACTCGTCAAATTCAGAGAGATCATTGTCCTGAAATTCACAAACCAAATCAAATCCAAGCATACATACTCTCTTTTGATAAGGGATCAAATCCACATAAGCATTAAAAACTACCAGTTCGTCATTAAATATTAAGATGATTTTGAGCAAAAACAGAAAACAGGACATGAGGCACTTTAGAGAGAGAGAGACAGTAGGACAGACAGAGAGATGATTTTTTGAGGGCTGGGGAATCGAGAGGAGAGTTAGGGTTGAGAGAGTTCATTGGGTAACTTGTTAGGGGCTGAGAGAGAGAGAGAGAGTGCATCCCTCTCTGATTGGGTAATTGGCAATGTTTTCCTAACATGAAAGAACAAAATCCCATAATGTTTATTTGAAGTGTTAGGTCACATATCCCATTCACAATTTCATAGTGAACTAAGATTGAGCACTTAATGACATAAAAAAGTGATTCTACTATTAGGACAATGAAACCAACAAGTTACGTTATGTTCAACATAAGTCTTTTGTTTGAGGAATCCAATCAATGGAAATTTCTAGGGCAAGTTTTTATTGGTGCACAAAGCTATCTGATTCTATAACAATATATTTTTGAAAAGGTGTTTATGAGCCCTCATGCATGAATTCTCTCCCTCATAAGACAGTGAAACCCACTTCAGTCTCTACCTTCTTCAACGAGAAGTAACAATGGGCCCCATGTATACTCATCTCATGCACTCTTTCTCTCCTAGTCAACCATGTGGGGGACCCACATCTTTATTTACTTATCACAGTAATTTAATTACATCCCTTTTTTCTATCTATTCCGTGTTTTATTTCTGGGTATCTTTCTTATGCTCACTACCTGTGTAATCACATCGCTTCTACCTATATTAATCTTTAATTACTTCTCCCCATTTATCTATCACTTCCCTTAACTATTCCATATTTTATTTTCTCGAATCTTTCTTTTTTTTTCACTGCCTTTTGTAATTATGGCCATTACCTACATCTTTATTACTTGGAAAAGTATACAATAAGATGTTTCCTAATATAAGAACGTTACAATCACCCTTCCCATTTGTAATGAAATTGGTGGTTAGAGAAGTGCTGATGTATATTACTTTCTAGAGCAAAACACTCTACTTTTATCAAGCTCTGTGTCACTCTGCTAGATATCTGACTTTACTTTCGATGGCCAAGACTGATTGTGACCTTTTGTACCAACGAATAGAAATAGTCTGGTACAATCCTTAGATACCTTTCTCTTTTAGTTTTCTTCTTTCATTGTGGACCCCAAAGCCACTATGTACTAACTTCATATCAATGATTCGTACACTGCTGCAGCAGTTATAGTGGTCGAGAAGGATGTTGACATTGACACTTTTGCTGGGGATAATGCACCAGAGGTTGAAGAAAACAAGGTTGACAAGCCCATCATCACTCCACCGTGAAGATATGCGACCATAGGGGGTGGGTATAAAAAGGAAGGTGGGAAGGAAGTGTACATGTCATTTTAATTACAGAGGGGGCTCTTTTACTGGGTCATATGTTCATGTGCAAGCATTCACTTATTAAGGCTATTCCCAGGGGATAAGGGGATCTTACATCGTACTAAGATACCTAGGGATGAGCGTAAGGCCTTAAGGCATGAGAAGTCTAGAGGAAATGAGTCCAGTATCCATTATTGTTCCCGTCTCTATTGCAATCATCTAGCACTGATAAAATAGAGAGGCAGATTTCTAATGCACATGCAAGAAATGATGCAGATACTGAAGTCACGCGCTTCTTTTATGCTCAGAGCATCCCATTTAATGCAAAGAACCCAGGTTCCATGGAATGGTGTACATTATAAACCATGATACATCAAATATGAAAAGCTTATGACAATTTTTCTTGATAAAGAGAGATTGATTACACATTGATTACATTGAGGAATGAATGGGTAACTTATCAAGTATCAGTTGTTTTTAATGATTGGAGCAACATTAATAATGAGTTTTTTATTAATGTCACCACTGTGACATGGGGAAACGCTGTTTGTCGACCACTCGTCCATTGAAAAGACAAGCTACAATATTCATAGATCTCTTTAAAAACTAGAGGTTCTATTGGACCTTACAATGTGGTCCCGGTCGCAATGAACAGTGATGCCCATTGCGAAGGTTCTAAGCCCATAATTCAATAGCAACATCACCATATTATTTTAGTTCATATGCTTAGCTCACAAGTTGAGCCTTCTCATGAAGGATATCATTGATAAAAAAGGACCCACCATTTGCCTTACTTAGACAGCAGTACAAGCAAGCGAAAAGGGTAGTGAAACATATTCAAATCACAAAAGGCGTTCGTACGTTTTCAGGATTCTTCGAACCTCAAACTACTTAAAACCAAGAAGACAAGGTTCAGGAGGGTAAAATTTTATTATTATTATTATTCAATTTTTTTGATAAAGGTTGACATTGTATTGATGGTAGAGAAAGTTACAAAACAGCAAAAACCCAAGCGGGTAGACAAAAGTCACCGAGGGAGGTGACGGATAAAAGAAACAACTAAAAGAAAACAACAAAAAAGATAAAACAGAAAACCGATGGGAAAATCACAAGAAACCCAATCCGTACAGCAAAGGTCCCATAGAGAAAATCACGGGCAAGAGTACGGCGGACCTTGTCACTCCATAGTTGCCCCATGTTTAGCTAGCTCATCCGCTGTTCGGTTTGCCTCCCTCCAGATATGTCTCCAAGAGACCTATGTATGCCTACATAGAATGTAAATCTGATCAAAGATGTGCCATAATCTCCAAGGGGGGGCAAGCCAAATGGGATGCCCACAAAATAACATTCTTGTAATCCCCTTCTATAATTAGTGATGGGCCCCAGGCTGGGTCGAAGCGTCTCAGGCCTTCCAAGAGAGCGCGTGCCTCTGCTTCCGTGGAATATGAAATCCCAATGGAGGATGCGAAGGCAAGGAGGGTGATGCTCGCATGGTCGCGGAAGTTCCCCCCTATTCCGGCTGGACCTGGGTTGCCCAGGGAGGAGCCGTCGAAATTGAGCTTGATGAATCTCCTTTCGAGTGGTCTCCAGAAAGAGGAACGAGATATCCTCGGACGTCTCAAAGACAGAACGGGAACCCAATTCTGTCAGAAGTTATGGCTCGGCAGTCCCTTGAAGAGAGGGATTTTGGAAGCCCAAAAAGCTACGAGGGCCTTTATCGATTCCAGGGTTTTGTGTGTCAGTGCGTAGCTCCCTTGGAATATCCTATCGTTGTGTTCCTTCCAGATCGACCAGATGGCGGCCACGACTGAGATCTTCCAGAGAAGGCAGCCTGCTTTTGACCAAGGTAAGAAGGCCGAGGGCTAGAGTAAGTCGAGAATGGACTGTGGAGTGACCATACCCACTAGAATAGAGATAAGATTTCCCCCCAAGGAAAAAGGCTACCAGGCAGTGTAATAAATGAAGGGCAGCTGATTCCTCTTCTTCAAGACACATGGCGCATCTATTGGATAGCTGGAATCCGCGTCTCTTGAGTTGATCTAGTGTGCGTATTCTTCCCCACAGCACAAGCCAAGCAAAGAATTGAATCCTAGGAGGAACAGGGGAGTTCCAGGCTAAGGTAACGGAGGGAGTAGGAGGTGTAAGAGTGCGGGTTAAGGCTCGGAAGAGGGAGGAAACAGAGAAAAGTCCCAAAGGGTTTGGGGTCCAGACTATGCGGTCCGGTCCAGGAGAGGAGCCGGGAAAGGTCGAAAGCAAAGAAGAAAGGGATAAAAAGCTATCCAGTTCTTCGTCTCTCGGAGCCCAACGAAAATCCAGATTCCAAGAATAGGACGATCCAGAAATTGGAAAGAGATCCTCGACCAAAGCCAAGGGATTCCTAGCAAGGTAGAAAAGAGAAGGAAAGCGAGAGGCAAGAGAAGAGTCCCCTACCCAAAGATCAGACCAGAAAAGCACCTTGTCTCCGCTCTTAGGATGAAACCTAATGAAAGTTTTGAAGAGAGGGAAAGAGTGACGGATGGAACGCATAAACCAGAAGAAGCCCGGGGGGATTCTAGAAGGAATGCACCAGGTAGAAGAAGACAAGCGGTATTTGAAGCAGATGATTTGATGCCAGAGTCCCCCAGGTTGAGTTGCAAGCCTCCGCCACCATTTGCAAAGTAGGGCCAGATTTAGAGATTTGAGGCTACGGATTTCCAGACCACCAACAGATTTGGGGGAGCAGGCGGTGCTCCAAGATAATAGATGGAAATTCTTGGTAGGGTTGTCGCCCGACCAAAGGAAATTCCTCGTTAATTGCTCCAGCCGAGAGCGCACCGAGGCCGGTAAGTGAAAGAGAGACATCTGGAAGATAGGCAACCCTGTGAGGACTACTTTGATCAGGGTCAGTCTCCTTGGAGGCGTTAGGTATCTACCTTTCCATCCTGCATAATACGTGGACACTGAGGGGTATATGAAAACTCGTTGCCAATCCGTCCTGGTAGAATCTGTCGGTGGTCTCGTTAAAGATTTCTGCAATGATGGCAAAGAGAAATGGAGACAAGGGGTCACCTTGTCTCAGTCCTCTATGTGAATTGAAGAAACCTTATAGAGATCCATTGATAATAATTGAGAAGTAAGGGTTGCGAATGCAACCTCTAATCCATTTGCGCCATCTGCCGCCAAAACCCATTCTTCTTTTGGTTTTGTCTAGAATTGCCTAGTCGACATGGTCATAGGCTTTTTTCCAATCTAATTTGATAATCAGACCAGGGGCTTTGCCCGCCATCTTAGAGTAAATGCACTCGTGAGCTATGAGGGCTCCATCGAGGATCTGGCGATCTTGGACGAAAGCATTTTGAAAGTGGGAAATGAGAGAGTTGAGCACAGCTTTAAGTCTGGTGGCCAGCACCTTTGCCAGGATCTTATAGGAGGAGTTGATCAAGGTGATGGGTCTAAAGTCTTTAAGTTCCACCGCGCCTTCGACCTTAGGAATTAAGGCGATAAAGGTAGCATTCATTCCTTTGTGGATGATACCACGCTCGTGAATTCCGCAAAGAAATCCAAAATGTCCAGCCTTAG